GCCACTGACATTCACATATTCGGGAGCGTTTTTTTTTTCCCAAGTACCACAACACAGAATACATGACATCAATACATTGCCGCTTATTGTTTCACATTTCAAATCTGTGTACAAATATTTTGCATTAAGGGGAGGAGAGGGGCGGGGTGTTTTTTTGGGGGTTTTCCTGCGGGAAGCATTTTAGCCCCGCCGAAACGCCGGCTGTCAACAGAGTTCCCGTCATAAGCGGCAGTACCATCCAGCGCCGGGAGCGTGTGGCTGTGTACTCTTTTTCAGCCAGAGCACATTCTGGCAGCCGCGCGCGCGCACACTGGCCGAGGTCAAAGCTGTCACTTCAGAGGGCATTGTGGAATCTCAGCCGGTGCTGGATAATGTGGGAGTGCTCCCTTCCAATCGCCCAGATGTTTTCGACGGGGGCCTCGCCCTGAAAAAATTCGCAGGGGCCACCGAAAGCCTCCTTTAAAAAGTAGACTAGAACGGCCGATTAATTGAAACCCTCGCTGACACCTTCACCTGGAACTATTAGCCTCAACTCGTCTCTTCACATTAGCATTTTTTTTTTAATCCTCCCTCAAATTAAATACAAAAAATGCTCTGCCGATAATGAACTCTTTAAATATGCTGTATACAAGTCAAAACGGATTTTGATAGTTTGACGGCATATTTCAAGGACAACATAACTGTCATAACGCGGACACTTTTCCCGGCGCTAATTAGAAGAATTCAGTCAATTAGCTGTAAAAAGAGGGAGAGTGAGGAGTCAAAGTCTCAGACCGCCGTTGTTTTAATGACCTCTATCCACCGCAGTCACTTTTTGACAAGGAAAAGATTGAGCACAATACGGATGCAAAAGAAGACTGACTCCTCTCAAACTTGTGTCTAGACTAAAATCTTTTTTTTTTCTTTTTCTTTTAATCGCTAGTCGTGATCCTTTTTCGTTGCAATCATTTCAGTGTTGTTTGTTGGCAATTCAATTAAATAAAAGTTTCGTACATAAATGGCAATTTTGGACCAAGTCTGAAAAGACGTTTAAAAATGTCTTTGGGAGTGAATGAGTTAAGAGGGAACCCTTGGCAAAAAAATATCTTCATGGTCCAGTGTTATACGATGCTGACTTTTTTTTTTTTTAAGCGCATTAGCAAAGACATGAAACAGTGACTGTTTTTTTGTTCTGTTTGTGAAATTCAAAATTTATTAACTAACGCAAAACAACAAATGTGGGTGTGCAAGTATGTCACAGAAATGTCATCAAAACGCGAAAATTGGTAAAAAAAAAAAAAAAACACTTTTAATTTTTGTCACTTTAGTGCGTCTGCAATTCTTTGAGTTTCCTGCCGTGATCGGAGTGGAGTTGTTGAATCGTATCGGCGGTACGTAACACGCAACGCTCGCAGGTTGCATAGCAGCAGGTGAAGGGTCAATCGGAACACTTTTTTTGGCCAGCAGCCCTCCAAACGCGTTAATCCTTCCATACTAGCGAGTGCCATTGTTTCCGAAGAGGGCATGAAAGTCACCCCCCCCATCCCCTGTTCCATTGGTCAGCGGCTCCGAAACCATAAGATAAAAGCTCTTTTTCACCGTGTGGAAATTACAGCTCGGCGTGAAAAGAAATAAATAAAGCAAATGTGATGGATGACAATATTTAATTCTATGTACTTGCACTTCACAGAGCATAAATGAATCATCCGTGACTTCACCACAGCGAGACAAGGCGTGCCGTTTCCACCAAATGCAAATTACTACAATTTGGAGCGTTGTATTCAGCGGGAGACCGCCGCTAAATGGTCATACAAGCTCGTCACAGATATTAAAATAAATTATGTCTGATTTGAATTTTAGTCACGCCACATTAACTAATAGAAAGTTATTAACATTTCAAAAGAGGATGGGTTGTGGCGGCGGTGGTGGTGGTGGAGGTGGGGGGGAAAGCTTTTGCCTGCAAAATTAACGCTGGCTGGGCTGACCTGCGTGCCACGCAGCCTGATCGGCGTAATGACGGCATAATGGCATATTTACATTAAAATCCGGCCAGCTAATATGGGATTCAGAATGGGCGGCTCAGTCAAGGATTATTTAGTGTGGCCCGGTGGCCCCTCGCTCAATGTTTCAGTCTTAACTTCAATACAAAGTAGAAAGTTCTCATTTCATGACTATTTATGTGCTTGGTCTGTGTGGCTTGTTGCCCCTTTGCGATCAGCGCCCCCCCCCTTCACTACCCCCCCCCAAACACACACACACGTACACGCACACACACACATATTCCGCCCCCCAAAGTTCTCTGTAGTTTCAAGCGTTTATCTTTCATCTCCTCTGGCTTTTCCCGCCGCCTGGCTCTTTCAAGGCAATTATCTTTACACTTCACAAATGTCAAAATCCTACTTCGGCGGTATCTTGACGAGCCTTGTTGGGATGAATGAAATTCTTAACGGCAGAGATGAGCAGCTGAAGCGCTAATCTTCTGACATGGCGCTCTTTTGAAACACTTTCCTTGAATCACATATATCGCTTCTTTTGCCGCTCATTCTTCGATCTAGCCATCCGTTCATTCATTTTTTTTTCGACAGCGCTGGTCCTCATTTGAATCGTGGGTGAGCTGGAGCCTATCCCAGCCGGCTTTGGGTGAGAGGTGGGGTACACCGCAAACTGGTTGGCAGCCAATCCCAGGTCACACAGAGACAGCCATTTGCACTCACATTCACACACAAACGCAATCTGTCGTCTTGAAAGAACCTCACAAACTTGCTTTTGGAGTGTTGGAGGAAGCTGGATCAGACCCTGGATCTCAGAAATCAGGGGGATCATGAAAATGCTTTTTTTTTTTTTTTTTTTTGTCAGGAGGAGCTAAATTATCATTCATACACGCCAGCGATGGTACAGTCATATACTTGATTCTTTATCCTCTGCAAAGAACAACTACGAATCCCACTTGAGGTCTCAAGATAGTCCACACCCTGCAGAATGATGACGGGCTGATGCACGCAGGCATAAAATTAAGTGTACATTTAGAATGAATTGGCCTTGATACTGCCCCCAGGTGGCCAAGGTCAGAATGAGCAGCGCAATGTGTACTGAACGAGAAAGTGACAAAATAAATGATGCGGTGGGCCATAACCGGCCCACGGGCCTTGAATTTGACACCTGTGCTTTAAGACCAACGTTTTTGGATCGCATTTTTCTCTTTCAGATCTATTATTGTCACACTGACTCTACTTGACATTCTGCAGGTGGGAGTTGGTGTGTCTTGAAATAAAAAAAAAATATATATATATTTTTTTTTAAAAAAAGCAAATTGACATCTTCTGTTGAGCCTTGCCGCTTGTTTCGCAGACCCGGTCGGGTTCGACCTGACCATCTGCTCCCCTGCTCTGACGGAGCGCCGCTTTTGGCAGGGCTCGGACTTGCTCCATTGGGCTCCATCTCAATGGACAAGCGCTATCATCAGATTTCTGTCGGCCACTCAAAGCCAAAACCAGATCGCGGCTCGCTAAGAACACGCCGAGAGGAGGGAGGGAGGGACGGAGGGAGGGCGGGCGGGCGGGCGGCGGGGACAACAATAAGGCGGCATCTCGCCGCCAGCCGGCTACTGTCACGTTACAGATGGAATCACTTCACAAACGCCGAGAATTAATATCCTAATGAAGCTTGGAGTGGCCATTAGGTTTGTGTAATGCGGCTCCAGGGGCCTGAGATGGATGTCCAGCAGCTCCGGGCCCTTATTTGTGCACAGTCACCTCAGTGGTGCCTTTTATTAGGGGGGCATTAGAGGAAGAGCGAGGCAACAGACAGATAGCGCTTTATTACTCTTGTTCCCAGGGAGCCGTGCACTACCTGTCACGAGCACACAAAGCATGCTGCGTTAGTTCATTTTACAGCTAAATATCTCTTTTACAAATGTCTCTGTCCGTGTAATCCGGTCAGGCGGCTCCTTGCGCGCACGGAGCGTCGCTCGCAAAGGGCCCTGCAAATTACACAGGGGGCGGGAGGCGTCAAAACAGGTGTCACTAGCGTTGACAAAACGATCAATATTTGGGCATAAATAAATGCAAGTGAGGTGCCGAGAAATTTTTTTGCATTCAGCATCGGTATTGGATCAGTATTGCCAATACCGGTTTGAATTTGACTTTGTTTCGGATCGGAGAGTATCAAAGCTAATTAGTGTGTCAGGTTTCCGATTCAGTTTTGTTTCCGATCGTGAGGAGGATGGTCGGCGCCGGTTTTTGGGGACGAACATCTGGACCGTCTGCTCCAGCAGCGTTCGTCGAGGGCTTCATTTGTGTAATGGCGCAAAATGGATGTCATCATCTTTCACGTGTAACTGATCATACGCTGTGAATTAATACACTCCACGTTCATCCCATTTTCCATCTCCATTTGTGCTGACAGGCGTGTGTGCCTGCCTCTGCTTTTAATCTCGAAACAGTTTCGGGGTATGATTCGCTCTCCTCTGTCACTTGGCTCCGGCCGAGAATTCATTTTCAGTGGGTCAACTGTTTCAGAATGTCATCTTTGACAGGACGCAGCCAGCGCAATGAATACCAGAGAAGACATGGACTGCTTTTTTTTTTTTTTTTGCAGTCACACGATCTCCATGCACAACAAGGCACACAGTGTCCATGTTAAAATCAATACTTAATCAAAACACTCCTCACTCATGAATAACAACAACAGAAGTGTTAAAAATTGGAGAGGGTGAGGTGGTGGGTGTGTAGGGGGGGTTGGGGGGGTGCTGCTGCCACAGTCAACTAATGAAGGTTATGTAGCATGGCAGGATTCAGTAATTGCAGCGCACACGTGAGGCATTAGACAGGATGTGGCTAATGGAAAACAATCACATTTAACATGGCTCCTTGGTTGGAGATGCTCAATAAGTGAGCAGCAGGCTGGCTCATAGCAAGCGGGAGGTGGCCATGGGTGGGGGATTGGGAACAGACAATCTATTTACAGTGTGCTCTGGGGAGCTAATAAACAAATGTTGAGTAATTTCAGCCAGCAGTAATTACCCTTGCAGCTGACAAGGAGAGCGCGCTACTCTCTCCTTCACCTCCGCCTCAGTCCAGGAGGTGCAGGCCTCCTCCGAGCGCTCCTCCTCAACCCGTAGACGCGTGGCTGGCGGCCAGCAGTCAAAAAACAGCGAGTCCCGCCCCGCATGCGATTGGGCCTGAGCAGGAACATAACAAATGGTTAAATGTATTGGATTTGCCGTGCAGTCGAAAGGCCTTTTTTTTTTTTTACCCTTCTGCAAAGTGTTTGAACATTTCCCACATAATCCAATTAAACAGAAACTCAGGCAGCAGAAGTTTAACTGCCTTTATGCTAATTAATATGTGTGCACATCTTGGCTCCCTTCAGCCACATGCTTTTGAACTCTAACCTCATTTATAAATCAGAACAAATATGAAGTTGGGGGAAGCGAAGAAATTACGCCGCGGTTTGGATAGGCAAAGAGGGGCCGCAGACATCTTTATCCGAGGAGCTCAGCCGTGATCCTTCAGTTACGGTCAAATAGATTTTTATGCAAATATGTGCCTATCGATCTCTGAGCCTTTCCTTGCACGGAACAGGTCGCAGAGGACCTCATTTAATTAGTTAGAGGTAATCATTACAAAATAATCAGTGTTTACATCATGAAAAAAAATGATGGGAGACATTCACCATTTCTTTTGAGATGCACTCTAATTATGTATTTTAAGTGTTTAGGGCTGAAAAATAATGTAACGGCATATTAAGAGGTTATACTTTTAAAAAATATATTTTACAGCACTTGAAACTCATTCAGTGCCAGCCATTCTCAGACCCTTCTTTACCCTACCACGTGAATAAACACAAACAAACAAACAAACATGTACCTGGGATTGAATGCCTGCATTCTTAAAAAAATATGAAAACACGTCCTTGGCATTGAATAAGTTAACTCATTCAATTGCAGTGGAAAACATTGGAAAATATCGTAGACAGTATACTGATTCTTCCACTTCCCAGAAGTGTAAAAAATAGATGACCAGCAAGCCAAACTCGAAGTCAGGTTATTTCATGGTTTCTTGAAATATCTTCAACGAAGGACTGCAAGTGTAGCAATCTCATATTCTAATACAATAAACAAAATATGAGAATGTAAAATATAGCATAGAGGTAAACACGGGTACAAACATTTCATTATTAGCTAGCCTAAAATTAAGTAGCTAGTAAAGGACACCCCGATTTTTTCTATACTAACAAACTTACCATTTTACAATGACACACTTCAATATTTTTGGCCAACGATGTGCATCATAAAATGAAGGAGCATCGGTTGCTTTCTGTAGGTGGAAAAAGGCGGATTGGAGTTTAGATGAAGTACTTCCGGTTTTCATTCTTCTTCTGTCAAATTTGGTGTTGAACAAACCAGTGCGACGCCCTCTTGTGGTTGATAGTTGAATTACACCCCATCGCCCCAAAAAAAAACGGCGGCAGAACAAAGTCGAGTTAAAAATAAATAAAATAAAACCTGCGATAGACGAGAACATTTCCACAAATCAGTAACTTACATTGAAGGGGGGATGACAATCCTGTAGTGCCATGTTACGCTGTACAGGAAGACATTCCCAAAAAATTAAGCGCAAGAAGAAAAGGACGCCCCTACGGTGTAATTTAATACACCATTTTGATGTTTTAATATTTGTTATTCCCTCACAGAAGAGAGATTAAGTTCATGTGAGTAGTGTTTCATGCTCTATTTGTATGCCTTGCAGCTCCATTTGTGTTTTTGGGAGCACTTTAACAGGAAATTTCAACGGGGTGGTGGGGGGGGGTGTGACAAACTGATGATGTCACTCCAGACGATATCAAACTTCACAAGACTTCAGGTGTATAACTCTGCTTGACTTTTTCTTTTGCTTTTGTGGCATTTTCTGACACCTGAAAATTATGCGAAGCCTTACCAAAGAGGAATGGGTTAAAAATTATTTTTATTTTACGAGTATATGAAATTGCATTCTAAGCAGTGTATGGCACCACCGGCCTATGCTATGGAGACGCAGTCCATACAGCGAATACTGTCCAGGCAGGTACTATTTTCCCTGCTAATGTGTGCCGAGAAGCGTCACGGTCCAGCGGTGTTATGCTCTGTCGCAGCGTCCAGTGCATTAGCCTCAGTCCAGTCAGCCGGCCACCCATCCCCCATCTCCTCTGACCAGTATGGCACAAACAATGCCACACATCACATCCCCGCGTCCTCCCCAGAATAACAAGGAGGGGAGTGCAGGGAGTGCAGGGAGCGCACGGGCATGCGGCGCTGACAGACGGACGGTGAGCCAGCCTGTCCCTTACACTCAGACGGGCAGATGTCCGTCCCTCTTTCCCATGCAGCGTGGCCGGCTGCTGACCAGGGGGGAGCCAGGCGGCTGCTGAAATGAAGAAACTTGAGAGCTCCTCAGGGGGGTGAGCTGGTCATTTGATGTCCAGCACCAGGGCAGGGTGAGGTACTGAATGAGCTGAGGGAGAGAGAGGTAGCCTCTGCAGTCTGTCACAAAAGGCCAGGCCTGACGGCTGGGAAGGAGGGAAAAGTACCCAGCACAGGCAGATCATTACTGCATCACTTTTTTTTTTCTCTCTATGAGAGGAAGTGATTGTGAAGCTCATGCAGCCTGAGAAAAACAAAGGGCAGGGGTGTCACTATACACAAATTTGATTACAGCATACCTGTTTAATTTCTCCATTGTAAGACAAATAAAGGTTTTCTTTTATATATATTTTTTTAACAGGGGGTATCAAAACTCAACTTCTTTAACTCGACTTCTAAAGTCACTTTTGATTTAAAAGATGAGACTGCATCATACCGTCTCACTCCACTTGAAAATATAAAAGATTGAATCGTCTATTTCTTCATTTAGTATGTACAGTAAGTAAGACGACAACAACAAACTTATCAAGTCGTACCATATCGAACCGAATCGGATATTTTCCACCAAAAAGCTTTTTTTTTTTTTTTCAACATCATTTCTTGAGCTGCATCTGAATGTGTGATTTTAAAACGGCACAATACACAGCAAAGTATTTGGACACCTGGCTTGGAAACTACTGAGTGTAGTCGACCCCCCGGATCTTTACAGCTATAAAAGCATCCATTCTTCTGGGAAGACTCACACCCCTTTCACACTTTTCCGGTGCCAGTGCTGTTTTGGAGCTCGGGGCAAAATTAGAACCAGTTCTTTGATTTTTTTTTTTTTCCAATACTGAAACAAGCACCCCCGTAGGAGCTTGTAAAACCGGTGCCAGACTAGCAACAACTCTTTGCCGGTCCAGGGGAAGGCTCCTCGTTACACCATTATCTTGTGGCCAAAAGCCAGCAAACTCAAGGTTTGTAAATGACGCCGTGCCTGACGACAGGATGACGTTATACTGATGACGTAATGATCTTAGCGTCATTGGCTCTCTGCCAGCGTGAAGCCAAAGTTGAGCCAAAAGTCAGCAGTGGCACCATCACCGCTTCCGAATTTTTATGAGCACCGGCGTGGAATAAAAGAGGGATGAGTCACCTTTCCCATGCATTTATGAGGCAAGTTTTTCACATCATCCAAGCAGAACTTTTTGCACATTGGACCAAGAACTGATTAGGAGGTGTGTTTAAAAAAAAAAAAAAACATTCTGATTGGGAGGTGTGTTTAGATTTTCTCCATATTATTTCATAAAACCCTTGCTCCAGATCCCCTCAATTAACCTGCAAAAAAAAAATGTGAAAAGTTGCTCCTCCAACGAAGCCATCGATGAGCAAAACCGCTCAGTTCTTGCTTACCTGCTCCACATTCACTTCTGGCAGGTAGCGCCGGATTCTCCGGAGGCTAAAGAGAGCTCCAGCTGGACCACTCCAAAGTGGCGGCGCCCGAGTCTTGTAATTAATAACCGGCCATGCGTCACACGTCCGTCCTGCAGCCCTGCCCCTCGTCTCCCTGGTGACAAAAAAAAAAAAGCCGGCGGTCACCAGACGGTGGACACCGCCAGGCGCTTGTTTCCATTTTTTTTTTTTTGTTTTTTTTTTCCTTAGAGACAGCGATGGCGTGTGCGTGCGTGCGCGCATGAGGATGGGGTGCTTAGGGTGCATAAGCCATCGCTATGTACCTTTCATCTTGGAGGAGATTTGGAGAGGTTTCAGACCACAGAGACTTCTTAATTCTCACTAATTCATTTGCGTTCCAGATTCCCTGGGCCCGGGATAACCTGAGAATGATAATGAACCCGCAAGGGGAGTGCATGGTCCCTTGCCTTTGAATGTGCTCGGAATAGATTCACATAATCTTTACCGCTCAATCTTTTCTGGAGAAAGCTCTTATTAAGAGAGAGGGTTTTTTTTTGTGGTCTTGAGGTGTCCTACTAGTTGGAGAGCTTTAACTTTGTCTGAAGATGCCCGCCGTCCTCTAACACATGGCTAGCATTAAAACGCAGCGATGCAATATTGATGTAACCGCGAGAAAATAGGTGCGAGCATGTTTTGGAAATCAGACTTTATCATGAATATTTATCGGAGAGCCGGACAGAGCGCGTCAATCAATAAACTTTACTGAGCAGCTTCTGGAAAACTGAGCCGCATGCAAACAATATATTGTCATCACAAATGAGAGAGCGCGCTATTTACATGTATGGATTCAAATGATTCACTTGAAGCACCTGGAAGAAATCATTAAGTGTAACCTCTCGAGTCAAACGGCCCGAGGTTGTTCGATTCAGAAGTCAAACAAGATTTTGTTTGGAGTCACACAAAACGAAACTCGAGAGAGAACAGCGTTTTGGAAACTGCAGTTGTTGATTTGCATTCAAACTTCAGCTTGCAGCCAGTGCAAGTGATGTCATCACTTTGTTCCGACGGCGGCTCGAAAAAGAAAAGTTGAGATTTTCACTGATTTCCTTTTCCCTGCACTTTTGAATGTCATTGTGTTTATCTTATGATGTCATGTGTTAATGTATATAAAAAAGCACTAAACGGCTCTAATTAAAAAGTAAGCAGAGCTGCATTGAGTTTTTTGTAGGAGTCACAGTTTAGTATTACACCATCACCCTTCTTCTTTTGATAATCAGCACATGCATTGTTTCCGTTTGGTGACGCGTCGGCTGCATGCACTACACACACAGATCAGCACACTGATCAACAAGGCTTTTTGAGAGTGTATGAAGTGCTGCCACCCTGAGTGAAAGTGCTTTCGTTGTCTTGACGACCGCTCACTTATTTTACCATGTTCTGTCGAAGCTGCTTGGCCTGTTGCAACAACCTCCAGTATGTACTTCGTGCACTTCGAAAACAGTGGACTGTTATTCTAATACTTGTATCTGACTGGCTGATGTTTTGAAAAATGATCAATTTGGTTCAGTTTTTATGAATTTACTGTGACCTTTATTTATGATTTTTTTTTTTTTTGTGTACTGGAAATATTATGGAAAAAACATTTGAACTAACACTAAAACTAAAAAACTAAAAAAATTAAAAGCGCTTTTTGAAAAAATATAAACCAACTGTGAGGATAAGCCTTTTCGGATAATGGATAAATGATTTGGAAATACAAAAGTCAAAATCAACTATAATGAAAAATCCCCAACTATGACATCCTCAGCTCACTCACTCACAATGCTATTGCAAATTGCTGGTACAAATAACATTTTATCAATTTCCCGAAGCTTCGACTGCAGCGTGTTGGCATCCAAATCGACCGTGCTTTACAGTGAGCGCCTGTCAATCGCTTGCAATTTTACAACGGTTGTCCCTTGTTGACTTCATCATCAGCAACTCTTTTCTTTCCTTTAAGGGATTTACGGGGAGGTTTACGGGTCTGACGGGTAGACTGCAAAACTCCTGTGTGAGAAAAGGCAGCGGGAAAAGCCGCCCGGCTTCACGGCCGGTCTCATCTTTGGTCAAACAGAAGTGAGCTTAATTCGGGGGGGGTCTGCCTTTGGGAATTTCAAAGGCGAAAAAAAGCTTTGAGTGACGCCGAGCTTGAGCTCCCTGATGTCGGGGAGATGAATGAAAGCGAGGTCTAGAGGCGAGAGGCCTTCTCACACTCCCACATCAGTGGAGGTCTTTTAAGATCTCATCAAGATAATTATAGATACGTCGCTGGCATACTGTATGGAAAGCGAGGTGGGAAGCTGATCGGTTTTCTTTTTTTTTTTTTTTTGTGTTGATCATTTTGGTGAGAAAACATGTCTTCACATATGTGAGCGTCATTTTTAATGACAGCATAAAATGAAGGTTAATTTGAGCCAACTTAAACTGGCGGCCATCACTAGCCGTGTAGTAGCGCTCCGTTTCCAAAAAGTTGGACCCCAGGCAAGAATTTTGGTGGACCAGCCGGGACACTTGTTGTGATCCGGCTAGCGTCGGTTGCTAATGTTACTGTTGAGTTGGGTGCACTCTTTGCAAAAAAAACAATCCTGCAGGCTAACAACTAAAATTATAACCTTTGCCAAGGAGGTTATGGAGTCACCACGTTGCTTTGTTTGCAGGAGAACGCAAAAAAAAAAAAAACTACTCAACTTATTTGTTCCAAACTTTTGTGGAAGTGAGGGGCACGGGCCAAGGGAGAATTCAATATAAAACATTTCCTTAGACGAAAAACGGACCAATCTTAATAACAAAATTCAGGCTTCGGCAGAAGTTGGCATGTATGTTTGGTCCAGATCCAATGTAGGGCTTTTTTTATTTTTTCCTGTTATACATACCTTTTGACTTTTGCAAGAAGGACTTGAGAGCAGAAATCATCCCAAAAAGATTCAAGCGCCTGCAATTGGCTGGCGACCAGTTCAGGGTGTAACCCGACTCTTGTCCAAAGTCAGTTGGGATCGGCTCCAGCTCACCCACAACCCTCCTGAGGACAACAAGCACTGCGCAACATGGAGGCATGGATGGGAAACTCATTCAAAATACTGGAAAAGCCTGGGCAGCATACATTATACATTTTATATATAAATATATATTTGTTATAGATATATGTATATACATATGGACGAGTACAGTACTGATACCATCAGGATTGGGCCAATACCAGTTCCCGATACTTAAGGAATTTAAAAAAAAAAAAAAAGAGTTAAGTCCTCCTTGACAGTAGTTGGCGCTATACTGCAAACAAACAAGCACAAGAATACAAAGAGCAAAATTTGAGAAAAGGGCACAATAAAGTTTGAAAAGCGGCTGAAAAAAAAAAAGTATAAAACATGCATGAAATACAAAGTAGGCAAATATTTGATTCCTTTCCTCCGGGATTTCTACTCACCAAAAGAATTCTTGTGCTTTTCACCGGAACAGCTTCGCCTTGCAAAGGAAAATAATGCTTGAATATTTTAATTACATATATAACGGCTCCTTATTCACATCAGTAGAAACGTACGTGCGTGTTTATGATATAGAGAAGAAAGAACACTCATTTCTACCCATACGACCAATCATGGGACCAAATGCATTTTTCTTGACCACCCGCTTACCTACCTCCCCGCCAACAATTGCGTGTTATCAGTGCGCCGGTTGTTGCGGCGCGTATTAACAAGCCCTATCTGATCAGCCGTCTCAGTCAGACACACGATTAGGGACGGCAAACAAGCCTGAAATTGATGACTCAGCCTTGACAGGCAAAAAGTCCGTTTGTACGGTGACAGTATCCATCAAATGTGACTTCTTTTCCACCCCAATTTAAGGACAGCCGTTTGTAATCCGATTACATTTCCAGATCTGGCTCGGCTCACATCTGGCAGTCAGCCATGCGAGTGAAGGCGGTTGAAGGGACACGAACAACGGCGAAGAAGGAAAAAAAAATAAATAAAAAAAATAAAAAATGCTCGGGGCAAATCATTCCTGCCAGTGTGCTGGCAGCCGCACTGTTGCTGTCATTTCAATCTGTTTTTTGTGCACCTCAAGCTCGCCGACAATAACGCCACGCCTTGCTTATGTCATCACATTTGGACAAACTTCTCAATTGCTTTTGACCTTGATTCAACCATCTGCTTTCTCATTTTTTTTTTTTTTTGGTTCCCCTTTCCGTATACTGTATACCAAAAAGCCAAAAGGCCATCAGATCCAATAATTCGGGCATTCGGTCCAAGTGTTTTGCTTTTTCTTTGGCTTTCTGAGCAATCAAAAGAAGGAAACGTTGATAAAATAGTGATTCCTAATCATCTAATTTCACTTATGCTGCCCAAAAATGGACATTTATTTACAGTACAAATTATGTACCTGTTCATCTATCTATGCTAGCCACATAGCGTGACAGACATAACTATTAAATGCTATTACACAGGCTGGCCTATACGATTAGCTTGTGTATAAACCTTTTGTCGTTCAGAATCAAGCCAGATTGCGCAATAAATTTCAAGTAAATTGCGACGAGATCATCCTTATGTTGGTATAATTTTTGTGGCATTTATTTTTTGAGAAGTCAACAAAAAAATCTATGGCTTGATCACTTCACCTTTCATGTTTCGCCAAACCATGATATTTCATCATGCAAACTAATTTATCTCAACACGATACAAATGAATAGATCAAACGTACATATATATTTCGAAAAACGAGATTTGGTAATTGCATCCTCCTGTATTGCAAGTTCCGTTTAAATGCTATTCAATGTTTTGCCCTACGGGGGAACGGTATTCCTACTTCCTGAAAGTCGCCAGCTGCCAAATACTGAGCTATCATAATATATTCTCCTAAGTAGTCAATGTGACATTAAGAAGTATCTTGTTTCACAGATCGCGATGAATAAACAACACTATCCGGCGAATATAAACCCTCCGCAGTTTGACATTTGTCTGTGATTTTCCTATCTGTGCTGGAAATGACAGTCTATGGAACATGTAAAAATGCCATGGCAGATGTGAAATCAATTTGCATTTCCCCCAGTGCCGGGATAACATGGCCCCTGTCAGAGGACTCGGCAGATCCGCCGCCGATAATGACGTTATAGAAGGCGGCGGCGCGCGCCGCCAAGGATGAAAGTGAAAAAGAGTGACGTTCCGTGTTTCCCCATGATTGCCTTGACTGGGCGCCGAGCGGCCAAGGAGCATGTGCTCGTCTATCTTTGCTCCCCATTAGCTCCTCTTGTTCCCTGCCAGGGGGCGGCGGCGAGAGAAGACGCATCTGACCAGTCAGCTCTTTCCTCTCTCACAGATGCTATTTTTTTTCTCTCCCCCCCACCCTTTAACTAATTAATTTAATCCCCTCCTACAGGTCACTCAGTCGAAACCTCTAAATTTGCAGTGGCCTGCGTTTGCACTTCAAATATGACCATTAATTAGATATTTCATAATTAATGTACTGATGAAATAACCGGTATCAAACAATTATGCAACTTTTGATGCTAACCATTAATTGCAGAGGGTAATTAATACGCTGATTAAAGGGAAGATAAGTGACCCGAAGGTAATTAATAGGAAAAAAAAAAAAACAAACAAAGGGAACAAACAGAGGTGGGCGGCACATTTACTCTGTTACATTTACATAAGTAACTTTTTTCATTTATCAACACAAGCTTTACAATATGTTCTCTGCGCCCCCACGAGCCTAAACACTGTATTCTGATTAATATTGCGTTTGTGAAATATGAATTAAGCATAAAAATCCACCTGTGTTCGTCCACCTCAGGGGGCGGCCATCTTGCCACTTGCTGTCGACTGAAAATGACATCACAGTGCATCACATGACGCTAGAAAACAAATGAGCCGTGACGGTTGTGATGGCGTGATGTCATCTTCAGGCGACTCCAAGTAACAAAATGGCCGCCCTTTGAGATGGATAAAAACAGTTGGGCTTTTCTGCTTAATTCATATTCTACAAACTCAATATTGATCAGAATGTTGTTTTTGGAATGGTGGGGGCACGTAAATCCTTGTGAAGAAAATGTTTCACTTGACTGTATCTTGAATAAAAATACTCACTTGATAGTAAAACATATGTTGCATCAAAACTTCTCAAACAAGAAAGAAATTAATTTAGAAAAATTAATTTCACGTCAGTTCTTGTGAGGAATTTGCCTTAGTTTATGTTATTAAAAAAAGTTCATGTAATAGTGATGGACAAAATGTGAATTTGCACATTCCCACTTTATATTTTTGTCTGTTGCATGTTTTGGCACTGATTAAATAAATCAGAAGTTACTCACCAGTTAATCTGCAATCCAGTATTTTTTTTCACTAATTACTTAACTATTATTAATTTTGGAGGACCACTTTTTACTGGGTGGTTATTGTTCTAAAGTAACAGTTCTCTTACTCCAGTACAAGTTTTAGCTGCTCGGCTCACCTCTTTTGATATCTGAGCAGGGGGAGCTGTGTAAGACCGACATCCCATCATGTTGTTTTTGAGAAGCGCACACGCACAAATGGCTGCCTTCACACCATTTTGTGAAAATGTGCCGAGGAGGGTTGCGATTGACGGCGATCACACACATTAGTAACGCTGCATTTCCAAGGTCTTGTTAGGACGCGCAACCCAGAATTATTGTGGTTCAAAAAAAAAAAAAAAGGGAGTGTGGGGGCACAAAAATACATCACGCGAATCTAAAGGACATGGGTCCATCATTTCGGTTTATTGGATCCACTTAGCGCACATCAATCTGAAAATGTAGACTTTGATGTCTGGCTGCTTGCCCCTCGACTGAAGAAAGAAGACGGCGGGCCTTCTATTTCACACGAAGACAGACAATTTCACATTCTGAATTGGCTCAAATCGTGTGATCAAAGTTTGCGATTTTTCATTAGCGTTCGTTTTCAGTTCGTTTAGACTTCTGTTTTGTTAAATTCAAGTCATTGTTGGGAGTGTCCGAAAATGCTTTGGTTTACTTTCATATTTATTAGTTTCGGTTTGGAGTATTTGATGAGTGCAAAACATCAAAAAAAGGCTCAAAATAGGTCAGAATGTCAAGTAAAGTACAATTCCCATTGGATTGTTCGACCTTCCTTTTTCTGTCCTGCCCAACAGTAATACCCCCCCCCCCCAAAAAAAACAACATTTCAAACAGACCCCAAAAGCTCTTATGAAATTAGGGTTTTAAACTAGGGTTAGGGTTTCAAACTCAAACTTGGGGTAGGGCTTCAAGTTAGGGTTTTACACTAGGGTGATGGTTCAAAGTAGGGTTTTAAACATGTCTTAGGGTTTTGAAATTCCGGTTTTAAACTAGGGTTAGGGTTTCAAAGTAGGGTTTTAAACTTGCCTTAGGGTTTCTAATCACATTTAAGATTTCAAATTTGGATTTCAAAGGAGGGTTAGGGTTTTAGATGTGGGTTTTCAACTTGGGTTATTGTTTCAAAGTAGGGTTTTAAGGTGGTGGATTAAGACGCCACAAAACCAAATATATGACCAACAAAATACACACCCAGCCGATCAAAAAAAGGCATACAATTGTTTTAAACGTACATTTATGCGGATGTAACGCTAAGTTTAATGAGGAAGAAAAGGTTCCGTTTCTCCTATGTTATTAGAATGAATCAAATATGGGAGGAGCCCCCCCCCCGCCCCCCCTTCCCAAGAGAACATTGTCTGCCTAGACCAGCAGGAAGCGGGTCCAGGCATGTGGAGGGCGCACACACTACAGAGCCCCAGTATGAAATTCACAAGACAGATCAGCCTGTGAGTTCATTTTCTCCTCCCTCATTTGGAATCCAGTCAGAAGCCAGAGGGTCGCCATCTTGCGTTGCCACCGTTACGAATAGCCCCCCCCCCCC